TAAAGATTTTCTTCTTGTCCTGTCTCTAAGTGGCATTTTCAAGGAAAGGGGTGTATGGGACTGAGGTTTCTCATTGCATTACAAGATCCTACAAAAAAGGCAGCACCGAACACCGTCTAAATGTGTGTGTGACTGGTTCTCGAATGATGTGGGAGGTCAGCCTAAGCCACGAGGCATATTGTATCTGTGTTTTCGTTTTATAGCAGAGAAAATGACGTGTGTTCTTGGTCCCTAAGTAATGGTCAGATATTGTCTGTACGAATACACATGTGTACCATACTGAGATGCTTTATTACAGAGAGAACTACTTACTGAGAGCTATATTAACTGCGAGACCTGGTGATCAATATGACTTCATTCTAACACGATGTGTCTTGGAGTGGCAGGGTCGTACATTCACGGTTGTTGGGTTCTGGCTTGTGCACTAGTGCTCATCAATGAGGTACATTCATAACTGTTTGGGTGATCCACAGCGGATCTGATCTTAAAACAAGTCCTAGAGCTTGGAGCTGTTTAATGCTATGCGGGCTGCTGTGCTGTCATTATTTTACAGTGTCCATCCGCTCGTTGTTAATGCTACAATATGCAGGGGACCATAAGCATGTGTGGTCTGTAGTGTAAGGTGCTTTGCCTGCTGAGAAAATGGAGGACTACTTTGGGATCATGGGAGACGAAGTATTACAAGTCCTGGATTGTCTCTTAACTGCTGGTTTTTGAGCTTCAACATCTCTATCCTTCTTTGTCGCTCCTTTTGCTTCCCTACCACTTAATACACACTCTCCATCTCTCTTGTGTGTTTATCTATCTGTCTAGCTGTCTGTGGAGTCTGGCAGAGACATCTCGCTGCCAAAAACCTCCCGGTACAGTGGCGGGAAGCTGTAGGCGGTCTCTGGGTGGACCAAACGGAAAAACTCAAGTTTGTCGATGTGGAGGTTACAGATAGACTTCATTGTGGGCAGCTTGGATATCATCTGTGGGGACAGAGGAGATACAAAAGGTAAATGTCTGTGTCTGTCACACAACTGTGCATGTTAAAGAAGTAGTAGTTGCAACTGTTTGGCTTTACCTTGTCCAGTTTCTCGTCAGAAGTACCGCTCTTCTGTAGACTGTGCTGCAGAGCCAGGTAGACTTTGTCCTGGAGTTTCTGAACCTTTTGGCCTTCTGTCAACCAGGGTCGATCTACAGGAGAAAAGTATTTACCTTTAACATACAGTTTCCTCTGTTAATTTCTCCTTAAATAGCTTTACTGTTAAAATCAAATGATCATACACCATGCTGTCTGTATTCTGTCCGTAATTCAACATTTAAGATCTTTATTGTTATTCTGCATTAATGTGCAAGAAAAACAAAATTACAAAGTGTCATCCTCAAATCAAATTGTTCCTGTTATAAAGATTTACGAAGGAAAATAAATTTGATAATGATCAAAATATTAATAAAATGTAAAAATGAGCAAAAGAAGTAGATATTTAAGTTCTTCAATATAAGTCAATAAAACACAAGTCCAAGGTAACAAGAGTGCAAAGAACACACATTAGCATTAAAGTGACTGAGTACGCTTGCTAATATAAAAAAAATATTCCATGTGTATTTAAGTGTTAAAGTGTTTACGTATTTAGGTTTATTTGATTGATATAATATGATCTTGACAATGAGTAAAATATTCAAACCTAAGGTGACAGCTTTTGGACCCCCCACAAATTTAAAAATTACAAATGTGAATAATTTGATTCTCTAAACCTAGTAATTCAGAAACACGTGTACCGCTAAAAAAATACAATTTTTACAATGCAAAATCATTAAAAGTATATCAATCTGCAATAGTGGACTGAAAACCTACATATGTAAGATATCGAAAACAAAACGCATATTGTTTAGAATGTTTATGTTGAAAATGGAAATCTTTTAGTCAGTGTGTCTTTCTTTAGCAAGGACAAAACAGCACTAAATGGAACACTGTTATTCCATAATATAAAAGCTGCTTCCCTCTTGACCATGTTTGTGTTTATCAAAGTATTTGTGGTCAACAAATAAAAAGAGAAGAAAGAATATTCACCTGGGGAAAGAAGGACGGCAGCGCTAAACAGAGCCATCTCTTCATCAGACAGCTGTAGACGGGAGAGTCCTTTACCAAGGTCGATCACTGCACTGACCAGGTCATCACAACCTGCAAAAACACAGAATATCGTTTTAATTCACCGGAAAAAACAACAGTCTGAAGACTTAAATGGTCCTTAAAACTACAACTGATGTAGGAGGTACTAGTATGTAATGAGCTACTGTAGTTGACAATGAAAATACCAAAATTTAAAGATGGACGGCATGACTGCTCCCAAAAGTGAAGCCAAAGTGTCTCAATCACCACCTGGTGGCTGGCTGCAGTATAGGTTATAAATCCTGCCTCCTCCAAGTTAATTGATGTGACATGCACCAAACTAAAAAGTCAAAGCACACATCAAATATAACTTAGGTTTTAATAAGTGATTTGATGCAATGAAAATGTGGTGCGACTGAAACTGATAAGATTGTCTTACAGAAACATTTTGAGAATAATAAGCACAGTTATGCTATTGTGTTATTTCATTGCAGACGCATCTGTGTCAATAATGGATTGAGAACAGTGAGAGCCCTGGCATTTTCATACACAGCTGGTGTGTTCTGACAGTAATTAGTGCACAGTGCAAATGGAAAAAAAGGCGTAACACTTTGCAGCTTACATAAGGGACAGGATGTATGAGATGCTTTAATGTGTGACCCCGTCAATTATCTGAATGTCTTAGAGGTGACACAATTTACATTCCCACCCGACCTGCTTCTCACCAAGTGCTTTGAAGAACTGGGCCGGAGCGAACTTTCCGTTGAAGAAGATGGTGCTGTTGTTTACGTTGAAAGCTCGGCACATACGTATCAGCAGCACCTCCAAGCAGCCTGAAAGGTCAGCCACAGATAGAGGCACAGACATAGAGAGATGGAGACAGAAGAAGAAGGAGGAGGGGAAAGAAAGAGAAGGTCCAAGATACTCCAACATGCACAAAACACACAACAAAATGTTTTAATAATTTTTTTACCCAGATTGGCACACAGCATATATGACATTTTTGAACCATTATTTTTATAAATTCAAAACATTTACAGAGTGCAAACATATTTTCAAATCAATGTATTTTATGTCACATATAGGTGTTGAACAGATACAGAACATAAATGCAAATTTTGTTTCCAGAATTGTACAGTTCTCATCAGGTGTATGAACCAGGTGTGACATATTAAAACAAATGAAAAGATGGCAAAAAAAAGGCAAAGATAGAAGGTTGGAGACAAAGCAGAGGAAGGAACTGAAGTTAGCAAGTTTCAGAGAATGAATTCCTTAGTTTCCTTTGTATAAATGAAGTATGTTGAAGTGTGAAGTATTTATTGGGAGTACTTTAGACTGTGCACTGACCTGCTTTCAGCAGTATTATCTGATCGTTCTGGCATAGGTCCATAAAGCCAGTGATGCGTTTGGCAAACTCCACCACGTACTGGATGGCGTTGGTGATGTGGTGGGCACACTGCTGCCACATCCACTCAGCTGACTGAAACAGTGACACAAACAGAAATACACAATCAGATTCACTGCGTGCACAGACAAAACAGATATCTTCAGTTAAAGATATTTAATCTCTACCCAACAACAAGATGTTTTAGAAGCAGACAGGACTTAGTATTAATAAATGTCACTGATGATTGTGACAAACAGCTTTGGGCTTGATCACGTACCTTGTTCTGAAAAGCACGTGTTTCCTCAGGAGTGTATTGTACCCAGGTGAATCTCTTCATGTCTTCTGCGCTGTACTGACACGTCTCTAAGTGAGACTTAACGATACTCTGAGTGATGCGCTCTGTGGAACAAAATAAGCACAAACGTCAGTGTAACTTACACTGATTATTTTTGGTAGTGGTAGGTTTGAGAGACAGCGGCAGAGTGTAACATGGGTGTGGTTTACTGCACATATTCACAGATTAGGGCAGTAGTGTGATCTTGAATAAGGAACTAAAGAGCTACTGGCTCATCAGCTTATTTTAGCAGAAGTTAGCATCTCCTACACCTCCTGCACTCATTATATCCAGCAGCCGCAATATTAACCTATGGCCTCAGAGTCCCTTTTAAAGCCGCCTTTGTTGTTGCTGACATCCATAAAGATGTAAAATAAAACACAAATGCATTCTTCCTCAAGGTCTCCAGACACCAGCTCTGAAAAATATTTTCAACCTCTTAAAAATAAATAACGCTTCAGCTTTATCTCTTTATCTGCCCCTGATAATTCACACTAAGTTCCCCAAGAGCCAATTGTCAGATAATGGTCAGGTAATTAAAAAACAACTAAATAAACACTACACATATAACATTTGTATAGCAGTTTATTCCCTGTAGAGGAATTTACTGAGAAAGTCTCTTCTCTGTCATTGATTTATTAGTTATGATTCATTCTGTTTTCTTCTGTTATAACGTCTACGCAGTTTCAGTAAATGTTCCACAATAAAAGGATTTATGGTCTCTGAGCTGCTCAGACAGTTTTAATGTGAATCATTTTACAAAAGTGTTTAGTTTGCAGAGCACAAAGCAGGAAGTGAAAAATGGGAGCAATATGAAACGTTACAATTTGTCTTATATAATATCTTGCATGAGGGCCTGTTTCTCTATTAAGTTTCAAAAAGGCTTGCTAATATCCACTGCGAAATAACTACTACACACACTGTATGTACAGTGGGTATAAAAATGATGTGATACTATATTGTTTCTCACCAAGGTCTGATATTGAGCAGTCATCAGGCAGATGGTCCAGCAGTGTGTGTCCCAGCAGCACATGCGTGTGAGAGTGTGTGTGCAGGAGCTGTATCCCAGTGCCGTCCACCCCGTCCAGTACAGACTGCTGTGGGGAATTTTGATTGGACAAGGATGAGGAGGAAGAAGAGGAGGACGATGAGTTAGAGGTGTTGCCGGTGCTGGTGCCCCCGCCGAGCAGCTCCAGACTGCAGTACTCGCTGGCCTCCTCTGGGGTCAGTGGCAGATCGAACAGGTCAGGCAATGCTGCAATGTCGTCCAGGTCACTGAGGGTGGAGCTGGATCCCCCGCTGCTATAGGACCGACTCAGGCCCTCTTCACCATCCTCCCCACTGCCTCCGCAGACTCCATCATCCCTGGGTAAAGAAAGAGTGGTGGAGCCTTCGCCTCCAGAGCCCACACACTCCTGGGACTTCTGGTGCTTCTGCACTTCAGCGTAGAGGCTGTCGCGCTGCTTCTTTGACATACGACCAAACTTCACGGCTGCAGAGAGAAAAAGAAAATACATTTGGTTTTAGTAAAAAGATTAATCTCAACTGTAACTACACACTGTATGATTGAAATGTGTTTGTTTTCTTAAAACAAATTGTATTTTTTGTTTTCGAATTTGTGCAGGGAGATCTCCAATGTTTCTGTAGTCAAAGCAAGACCTTCACATCTGTAGCTGTTACCTCAATCTAACCGTGAGATATTCCTGTCTCACATAAGATTCCTTCTGCCACCTTATCTGCAAGTACTGTATGTTCCTGTTTCTATATCCAGTTTGAATGATGACAGTCCACCACCTCCTCAGTCTATATACCATATTTGTTTTCTCTCAGCAGTTCACAGAACGTGTGGTGAGCTCTGCTACAACAGCTGATGTGGAACATTACTGCTGAGGGCTTCAAATTCTCCTGGTATCAGCTTTAAATTAAAGACACACACACACACACACACACAGGAGAAACCTATCTCCACTAAACCTGTCATTTGGAAGTCAAAACTTCAGTTTTACTAAATGTTGTGGTTACAGTAGGTGTGTAAAGAGGTTACAATGCGTTGTGTTTACCATCTCTGCTCATGCCCAAAGCCAGACACTTCTGTAGTCGACAGTGCTGGCAGCGGTTACGGTTAGTTCGGTCAATCAGGCAGTTCCTCTGTCGGGAACATGAGTACATGGCATTGTTCTGCTGGCTCCGACGAAAGAAACCCTAGACGAACACACACACACAAACACGCACACATACTGTCAATGAGTGCCTGCACATTTTAAATAAAACAGGTTGATTAAAATTTAGGTCCGGTAGCCTCTGGGTTTCCTCCTCACCTTGCAGCCTTCGCAGGTGATGACTCCATAGTGGATTCCTGAGGACTTGTCCCCACAGATCTTACAGGGGATGACCTCTATCTGAGCTGCAGGACAGAAAACAAGAGGGATGGGAGAACGGTCAGAAAGATGCAGCCTCATGTGTCTCAAATTAACGTAGAAGGCTACAAATCAAATTCAATTCAGTTTCCATCATCTGCTCAGGATTTACATCTTTGGCTTGAGTCATATAGTAAATAACTATACACTAATACAACTCTGTAACATGATACATCCATTCAGACAAAGCACTTTTACAGAAGCCCATATTTGGCATTTATTCTGTGCCTGCTTCACTTTGAGGGGAGTCAGTGGGACTTCTCTGAACTACTCATTCAATCCAAGATGTTGTACAACTTTGATTGTGACACGTCTACAAAGCGCTACAACTGTTCTCAACTTGTTCATATGCAAAGAAGGCTTGGTTCCTCCTGAAGCGACCATGGGTTTGGTTCCGACCCAGCACTTTACTACATGCCCCCCCCCCCCCATTCTCTCAATCTCATGCTTTACTGTCCTGTCGATTAAAGTGAAATGACCAAAAATATCTTTTTTGTTCTCAACTTGTAAATAATATTCTGAACCCTCCTCGCTGTGAGCTCTGCTTTAGAAACAGCTGGTTGTGTTGTATTTATCAGTGTTGACGTGTAAAATTGAAGTCTCGTTTTCTATTGTATGTATTTCTTCCTCGTTCTTTCTTTTCTAGTGTTACCCAGTTAGTCATTTTCAACCCTTAATATTTTCCATTTCTTTGTCGCCCTTTGGACATAGTAAATTTACAATGCTTATGATAAACAGTACCAGTTAAGTCTGACAAAATAGGCAAATCCTTATGTGTTATATATTGATTATTTGATATAAAGTGTGACGTGTAACAGATTGTCCTTGCTTGAACACGTCATCCTTTTATTACTTTTTCCTTGAACCTAATTATTTCAGGCCTCTCCCCTCTGTTCCTGCCTGCCTCTGTTGCACTATCATGTTGTTTTCTCCGGCTATAATCCTCGGCAAAATTACAGTCGCTCCTTTGTATCTTCTGTTGTCCTTGAAAAAGGTTGCCCCATGCTTTTATCTAGGCACAGTCGGACTACTGTCTCTCCCCATGTACTCTGGGCTCAATAAGAAGTCTATTTCCTGCCTCCAACTGATACAAAATGCATTTGCAAGTCTTTTGTCATGTTGCACCTCTCCTTGCCTCCTGTCCCTAGGAGGCCTTAAGTTTCAGATTTTAATGTAATATTTTACTGGCAGTGTTAAAGGTTTCAGACAAAAGCTCCTGTTCACAGATTTTAATGTAATATTTTACTGACAGTGTTATATACCTCCTGTTCTCCTGAGGTCAGTCTTCTTCTTAAGACATTACCTCACAATCTCTTGATAGCAAACAGCACTAACTTCTTTCACCTGGAGGCTTTTAAGACAACCTTTTCTCCTCAAGTCTTTCCTGTCTCTCTTTTACGATGCTGAATGACCTGTGAACTCTGCTGCGTCGTGTTAGTAAAACATGTGACTAACTGAAAAGCACTAAGAAATTTATTGTTATTATTGGCTAATTATCAACACGGTGAAGAAACTTAAAACCCATCGGTGCTTGAGTCAAATCCTGCACTTTGCACCCGAGTGTGATAATGAAAAAAAAACCAGAGTGTAATTGCATCAATTAAGTCATATACAGTGTATTTATATATATATTTTTTAATCTTTTTCTATTGATAACAACAACCTTGCAGACAAACTCTCCCACAACAAGTACAAGAGGAGATAACTTGCTGTGAACTGTGTTTGTCTGCAGCCTTCATGAGGCCCCTATGAGGGAACAGAGTACACAAACAGATAGGGAATCACATGACATTCGCACATATAACAAAGACTCCTTCTTTCTCGATTGAGGGGAAAAGAACAACAGCAACTATATCTTAAGATTGTTGCTTCTTAGCCTTGCCGTCTGATTTAATAAAAATATGTATTTGTGCCTCCTTTGTTGTGTTGGGACGATGTGTGGAAAACCACTGATTAAGGGGGAATTACTGCACACTTGGGTACTGGAAAACACAAATTTCCAGCTCCTTAGACGCTGCAGTCAACCGTCTCTCTCTGCTGAAACTGTAACTAAAATACTCTAACTGATCAGGGCAGCTGCAGGCATGCAATGGAAAAATATCTCCCTCTTCCCCCTGCCGCCCTCCCTTCCCTTTTTTTCTCTCAGGTTCCCTTCCACCCCTCCCTCATCTCTTGATTATATAACTCTAGTCTGTGAGCATTCCTCACAACACTCATTCAGGGCTCACTCTAGCAACACCAAGAGCCCGCCCTACGCCGGCTCTCCCCTTTCCCATTGGTTGAGCACTGTCCCGGCCTACTCTGCATTGGCTGCGTCATCTGTCGGTCGGTGCTCCGGCCTGTCAGCTCATGTGGACATTCTGTCCTACTGACACACTTTCCCACTGCAAGGGGAGAGGAAGGAGGGAGGCAGGCAGGCGCGATCCCGTCTCTCCGCAGATCAGTTTTAAGGTGGATCTCGACAGAGCTCAGACTTCCCCTATAAAACATTTCCCTGAAGGCTCATTAGTTGCATTCGAAAATTGGCCCGTGTTATGTAAGAGCTAAATGAACCAAGAGAGGCTGCGGTGATGAGGCTAGAAAAACTGCACTTACCAGTTCAGCTATAACACAAGACGCAGCTCTGATTTAAAATGAAGTCTATGTCTGTATGTGCTGTTGTTTATGCAATATTCCAACATTGTTGTGTGAGAGAAAAAACATATTTCATGTGGACACTAACGACCCTTCTATACCTGGCCACAGTCCACTTCCAAGCAGACAAACTCAGGACTTGAATGTCAGCTATCCGGCCCCCTCCCCTCTCTTTGACATTGAGCTTCTGCTTCAACCTGTTCTATTCTTGTCCTGTGCTGGGAGCCAGAATTACACAGATGCCTCGCCACCCACCCCTGCTGCTACAACCACACATTCATGCTCCCTCACTCTTCTTCTCTTGACTCTCCGCAGATATCCGAACGCAACCCACAGACAGTAAACTGAGATTAATCTCCTTAATGGTCCTTCATTTAATGTAATTTCATCTTTTATAACCTGATGAATGAAACATTACCACACAGTTAAACCAATTATACACATACAAATAATTAATAGTGCAGAAATTTAACAGAGACAGCTTGGGTGTGTCACTGAACCAACAGAGACAGAAAAACTATGGCTGCAAGTAACTATTATGTCTATCAGTGATAGAATTCTGTTGTGATTGTTTCCTCTGAAAAAAACATGAAAAAAGAGAAAACAAAGGTTCTGGAGCCAAAGGCAACATATTTAAACTTTGGACCAACTGTGTCTACAACACATCTGTATTCTGTTTATTATAATATGTGACTAATAATATAATTATAATTTTCAGTACTTTTTGCGTCAATAGTGACATAAATGATTGTCAGAAAATTTCCCAAGAAGTAGTAAGCTGTATGTTTTGAATTAAATAAATAATTGGCAACAATTGTTGTGAAGCTAAATACCCAATGAAAACAACCTACTAAACAAACATGACAAATTCAATAGTAGCAGTAGGAGCCACACTTGTCATTCCACATTCAATGGCAAACAAAGAAAAGGTGTTTGACCAGCGAGACCGTAACTTTGTGTGGCACACCCAAGGCCTTTTCACAGTTCAATTCCCTGCATCTAATGTATTCTCCAGTCAGGGTGTCAGTGGTGTGACGAACCAAATAATGAATTTTAACCCTCCACATGTGTACAAATCCTCCCTGCACGACGTTTGAAAACAGTTATAATCAGGTACAGGTTGTTTGTGTTATTACGTGAGTCACGATACTATGCAGACAACCAACCGATCAACTCAGATCTCAGTGGCGTGTTTGAATGTTGTTCATGACCTGCTCATAAGGAGATTGAGCATGTGGAGACAGGGAAGCGGGAGCCTTGTGTGCTCGGGCTGTGTACGTCTTAGCAGTGCTGAAGCACTTGTTGTGTCATGCCTCACAGTTGGGTGTAGCTCTACAGTTCAGCACGGAGATGTATCACAACAATACACTGCTGTTGGATCTTATACTTCTCTTTAGCAATTATGTTCCATGTGTGGCAACGTTTTTCTATATTATTTGAATATTTAAATCCCCATATTACTCAGTTAACTCTATCATATTCTCAGATACGTGACAAAAGCTTAGTTGCTATCAGATCATTTCACTGATTCCACTTAATACCTTGTAATAATCTTTTTTTTCCCCCTCCCCGCTGATGGTCTTCCTTCAAACAGAACAATGGAGTCTCAACTGGATGTACACAGTCTGGCTGCCAGAGCATTCAAATCAATAGGCTCTATTTTGAAAGATGCAAATACCAGTGGAGGCCAAGTTGAGGCCCACAGAGAATGTGGGGGGATTAGAGAGCTAAGAATTTCAGAGGCCTCTTCCTGCGGGTGTCAGTGTATGATATGAGTCTCATGATCTCTCACTGTGTTTACACATTATATACAAAGTGCGCTCTTCTGTCCAGGAAGTGCCCAAGGCCCAGACATCAACAAAAAGTCTTGTCAATGTGCCAAAACATCTGAAATGACTCTTTAAAAAAAATGATGCATGATTTCAAATGTGAAGAAGCGTGTTCAAAACCGAGGCTTAAAGAAATAAAATGCTGACGCTCTTTTTTTGTTGAGGAAATGGTAGGTTGAGTGACTAACCCACATTTTTCACAGCTATGGGCTAAGAAAGGGCCACGGTTTGTTTACCTTTGGATATCCTGCCAGAAAGGGAACCTCCCTCGATCAGAGGCCCCCTCTGCTTCTCTCCATCCCTCCCCCTTTTTTAGTGCAAAAATTCATCTCTTTCCTCCCTGATAAAAATACAGACTTGCCTATAATCTCTTTATCTATTCTGTAGAACAAAAGACTGTAACATTGGCCATGCTTAGACCAAAAACCAAGAGATGTAACAGGAGAGCAGAATCAAACAGAGCAACGGAAAAATACAACACTAATTATTAAGTGTGATTGATTAATTGATTGATTTGTAAATGTTTAATTAATCAGTAATGGATGCAGGTAAGTTAAAGTTTTAGAGGTTGCAGCCATGTTGTGGATCTGCATGGAAAATAAACATTTCGAATAAATGTGATTTTCATGTTACATTTAAGTCTATTTGAGTAGTTTGAATCAATCATTGATTTATGATTCTTCAGTTTGGATTCCACAGTCTGCTTACAAACAGCCTGCCTTGTCAATAACATCCATCTGCTGCCCCCAAGTTCAAGTTCAGCCTGTGTCAGGGGGCGACACGTTGTCTTGAGGGCCGTCACTCAGCCGCCTGTAACCCGCACATGGCTCTACACGTCCGGGCCGCGCGGCGCTTCCCACAGTCGCTCGCCCTCCCTCCGCTGCCCATGCTGTATAATGCTGGGTGACATAACTAGGTCAGTGGAACAGCCAGGTCCCTCTCTCCCCTCTGTACGCTCACACTGTCGGCCATGCTGGCACAGTCACCACACCACAACACCAGCTCTCAGCCTTACCCCAACACTGCCCACGTTCACTTATTAATCAACCACTAAATACAAACTTTAACAACTCTCCAGGAATGTTTTATCCTAAAAAAGAAAAAGAAAAAAAGGAATCTGATGGTTCAGTGTAAATGAATACCAGGAAAATTGCTTTATTTACTGTTTTGTTATGCAAATGGATCACACTAATTGTCTGTTTTCGTTTTTAAATTCGTCTGACGAGAAACCTGATAAACCCGACTAAGATCTCCATTACATAATTCTAGTTTTGGTTAACAACAAGCTCCCCTCACGCCCCTCCCTCCCCTTATTGCATAACTCGAACATGGATCCCCTGGCACATTTTACTGAAGGACCCACAGGTGCGATGTGACTCCCATTTGTCCAAAAACAACACCTTAGTGCGTCTCTGCAGCCACTTTTCCACTGTGCACACAGTTGAAAGATACTTTTTTTAATAATAATATATATCCCTAATATGATCAGAATGGCCCCATGTCTTTAAGATTGCATGGAGTTCAGTGGAGCATGCAGCCCCGGGAGCTCTGTGCACAGATAATCCAGTCATGAGGGATTAATGGGCATTTGGAGGAAAACAGGCGCACTTCAAATCCCGTGTTCTCACACAAGTGGCTGCACAGGACAGTTCGAAAAACACACACACAAACCGCGACGTTTCCTCCCCAAGTTCAAGTAAACAGATGTGTTAGGACACACGAAGATCCACTTACCTCTCATGGTTGGTGTTTTCTTGTCTCTAGATCAGGGCGAAGAAAAACTCGACTACATGTGGCGACAGTAGGTGACAGGACCGAGGAGGAGAAAAAGCGCAGGAGCCCGAGGACGCTGGCTCCGTCAATATTCACCGTAACTCTTCTCCTTCGCTTTTATCGCTCGGTGAAGTCCGAACAGAATAAAAGAGTGCAGGAAGTTGCTTTGGATCGCATCCTAAACGCGCGTCTCGACGCACAGGACGAATAGATTTGGATCAGCTTTCTTTCTGTTTTTCTTTTCTGTCCGAATAGTTCCACGGTGGAATAGTGCTGGTGATCGGCGACCCCCCCTCTCTGTATGCGCCTCTCTCTCTCTCTCTGAGCTGTGATTGTCCGCCTGCCTTCCTCTCAGTCTACCCTGCTAACCTACTTTCTCCAAGCGTGGACTCTCACATGATCTCACTGCCGACAGCTCCGCTCACATCACTGGCGGGAGCGCGCCGTCGGGAGCGAGTTTAAGGTGGCTGCTGGCAGATAGTGAAGAGACTGTGCTGCTGCTGCTGCTCACTTCTTCTCTCCCAGTGATGAGACATTAACTATTGTACTTCCAACAGGCGACAGGAAGGTACATAAAAACCCCACAATCACTTTTCTTTCAAACAGACACCTTCTTCTTCCACTTCCCTGACCTGGCAGCAGCTGCAGCCTGCAGCCCATGAATCCGTCTTTAAAGGGATTGTTCACCCCAAAAGGAAAATTCACTTAATATCTACTCACCACTATGACGATGGAGGGGTGGGTGAAGTGTTTGATTCCACAAAACACTTTTGGAGTTTCAGGGGTAAACAGAGTTGCAGCCAATTCCAGTACAATTGAAGTAAAAGGTGACTGATTCTTCAAATGTTAAAAAAAAAAACAACAGAAAAAAAGATTTAATGCCTCAATATTGCTCCTGTGGTGTCATCCAAGTGTCCGTTTACCCCAAAATTCTAATTCGTCCTGAAAACCGTGTCACTTACACCATGTTTTTAGAAAAATCTCCACTTTGCATTAACGTGGCTCCAGAGCAGGATATCAGGGGACATTTCACAATTCTTTGATTTTATAGTATTTTTGTACATGGCTACACTCCGTAAACTGAAATTACAATCAGAACGATATAAAAACTTTATAATGGCAACAAAACATTTCCGTATTATATTGTCAAACATTTAAATACACCGTATAGTACTGTAATGTTTTTTAAACTGTTGTTTTAGAATACAGTAGGTACACTGTAAAGTAATGGTATCTTACTGGCGATTGTAGCTGCCAGTAGTTTACTGTAATTTAACAAGGAATTTTATTTTTTAGGTAACACAATATTTATTTTTGTCAAACAATTCAGAATATTCATGGCTCAGTGTGCTGTTAACACAGACAAACTTGTTTGACAGGGTCTTCTAAAGAAATGAGAGTGAATTTTATTGTCAGTAAATATACAACGTTGTGCCGCTGCTGCAGTGACTTTGTTGGGCCTGTAAAATATTCATTGAGCTTGTTCACTTAAATGAGCTCTGTTCCCGTACGCTCTCCTGCACCAGGAAGAATAGGCCAGGAAAATAAATAATCCTCAGCTGCTTTCCCAACAACTGCTCACCACCTCTCAATTTACTCTTTGTGGAGCAGACATTGCTCCAGAGTTTGCACCCAGCAGACACTCACAGAAGTCTGAATCCTGTTTCACAGCCAAGGGTCTTTACTAAACGCACAGGAACATTCAGTACAGCAAAAATAACTGTGATATTTACATCTCATCTATTTACCTTATGTATAAGTAATGCTGCCGGCACTGCTTGGTATTTTTCCAGCTATTATCCTATGTACGTTTTCCTCATATGAATAATCTCTTGCTTTTAAAAGGGACAATTTTCAGCTCATTTTAGCTGCTTTAATCTATGAATGGAAAGGAGGGGGTTGAGGTTCTGATGTAAGGATAGTGTGTGAGTGTTGGTGATGGTGGGTGAGTTCTTGGGGCGGGTGTGTGTGTGCTGTAGCGGGTGGACTTATGATGCAATGCTCCGGCAGCGGTGTTATGAAACAGCATGAAGGCAGAGATTACTCCAACTAGGTTAGTGGATCAGGCAAGCACAGAGCACCTACAGTCACAGATTTTTTTTCTGTTCCTCACACACACACAGGCACTCACACAGAAACACAGAGACTCATATTCTTTTGTTTCCTCTCCAAACCCTTGTCCCTCTTCCTCCTCCTTGTTTTTCATACATAATCCCTTGTATTCTTTATTTGTACGCTCCTTCACGTCAGCAACAGTGAAGTGAATAATAACTTGATATTTTTGTTCGTGCACACATGTTCAAATCTTCATTTTTTTTCTGGCATTTCCTGCATTTTTTTTTCTTCTCTGCTGTTTGCGTCTGCAGTTTTTTCCCTCTCTTTCTCTTGCACCATGTACACATCTATTCTAAAGCCCCTCTGTTCTATGTCTCCCTTGACAACCACAGTGACACTTTGACCTTAGCTCTTATGTAACTGCCAAGCAAAGAGAGGGAGAGAGGGGGGAGAGGGAAACGGGAGGAGGAAGAGGAAGAGGAGTAGTTCTTCGGCGTGGCTTTGTATACAGCAGACATTTTGTTGCCTTATGATAAAGTAAAAGAGGTGAAATAAGAGCTGGGGAAGAAGAAAGAGAGGCTTAGAGGCGCTGGGAGGAGATCTTTTGGGAGGCTGCCAGCTGCAGCATAACAGGATGAGGGAGCAGATGTGGGAGCCCGGCAGAAATTATATATAAATGGACAGACATTTACGTCATAGGCCTTTTGACCACAAGCAGAGCTGCAGCGCACACACAGGGGGCGAAAGAGCCCATGTCCAATGTGCCTTAAGTCCTCTTTGTGGAAATAAATGTTACCAAAGAAGCACATTTAAGGTGACACATCTGCGGAGGCAGTGAAGGACGGAGATGATCCCTGCAGAGAATTATTATCATCATATCTCTCCTATTCATTCCTGCTGGGATCACTTGAGGCTGTAAAAGATATATTTTCTTACACTGCAGCCTTGAAGGACAGACATCCTACTATAGGTAGAATGCCCTGCAAATAAAGGCTCTTTACACTACAACCTTGAAGGATAAGATACAACCTTCTCTCTTATTGTGCATGAGAAAATATTGGGTGGGAGCTGTAGGTTAAGAGTGTTACTTGACCAGAACCATCACATGCAGCATATTCACTTTTTTGTTCTATGCAGTGCAATGCAATCATTTTCCAAGACGAGGATGAATGTCACCGACTCTTTCAATGTCTGGCCATTTTGTTGTTGTGCAGAACATCTTGTTGTTGGGGACAGAATAAGGTTTCTCCTGACTCAGATCAAACAGCCAGTGCAGCCTTGTGACTCCCCTGGGTTGAATTTAAAGGCCTCGCTCACATCAAAGAGTCTTTGTGGGGATGAAGGACCAACTGTAACTGATTGGCCGCACATGGTTTCAGTGAGGCCCCATGGCCAGTCTCTCTCTCTGCCTTAGCAGCATCGACTCTTTACATTCCAGTGAAGTTTCTCACATGGCATGTTGAAAAAAAAAAAAGGTTTGCATGCGTTCGTATGCAAACAGCTTTGATTTAAAGTGCAGCTATCACACATAATGTTCACACCCTTGTATCCTTTCATTTCCTTCATTGTGCTCATTTGAATGTCACATCCGCAAAAGGCAGAAACACATACATGCACATACACACGTACTGGACTGTGCCTGAGATTATTTCAGGCTCCTGCCATCCACAGAGCCGTAATCCCCCACTCACTCTTTCCTCATTTGGTTAATCTCCCTGTTTTCTCCTCTCTGAAGTCACTGTTAATCCCTCTCCCTCCCTCCCTCTCCTGCAGCCATTGCTCTGTAATCTGGAGCTGTGAGCTCATGCGTCATTAGGTCAGTGTGTCGGACAGAGTACAAACACAGTTTCCTCCTGTCCATATCCGCTCATCCTCCTTCACTCAGCTTCACCTCACCTCCACGTACCATCTCCATATTTTATAAATTTCATTCCATGTTCTTTTTTATTGTTTCAGCCTCTGTTGCCTCTCTTCACTCAAGCACATCTGGTTCTTCTTCACTCTGTTTCTTCTTATCAGTTTCATTTTTCATCCACCACACCGCTCTGTGTGATAACTCTGCAGAATAAATTAGATATGAGTTCAATCACAGGTCATTAGATACAGATTGATCTTGATGAGCATTTGTACTCCCCAGAGTTCTACAGTAAGAAAAACTTTTTTTGTACTGTCCTTGGCAGCCAACACTCAGATACACCATTTAAAATAGGCTCATGGGCCAAAATCTGGACATTCAACAAGTGTTTTAAGTTCTCTGCACAGCTTGCACTTGATGAATCAAGTAAAACCTGAATGCAATGAAGGAAGAAGCATTTCAGTGCCAGACCTCTGTTAATAATCATTTGTCATGAACATCTTTTAACCTGAATTTAAGCCCTGACCACCGCCCGGCAGTGAAATGAGGATTTTCTCGCCATAAAAGACTTTTTCCCCTCTCATCCAGGTCATGAGGATCCAAGCAGAGTTGAATTTAGGGCAACTGGACTTGAATGTTGACTTGATACTTGAAAAAACAACCAAGTATTCTGTCCTCGATTCAACTCTTCTTGGATAACTCCTGTTCTCAATGAGTAATCCTACATAAACTCCTACATAAGCAGTTTTGGTTGTTTTACATGAGAGATTTCAGCATGTTTTTTCTCTGAGAACTTATCACGAGTGTGAAGTGATGAGTGCATCAGTCAGGACTTATGAACATTTGATCCTCATGCTTACGATGAGTGGAATATTTGTACCTGATGTCTCCAAACAAAGTTACCAACATTAATTCCTCATATTTAACTCCACCAAGGCCGTTACATTTTTCATCTGTTTGTTTGTTATTAAGCAGCATTGAGCAAAAATTACTCGACCACACTTAGTGGAAGGATGCAGTAGAGGCAAGGGAAGAAGCCATTACACGTTGGTGCAGATCCAGGAATTTATTTACAACTGAGTAGCAGTAGGAACCACTGCATTTAACTGCTAATGCACATTAACATTAATTACCTGTTGGAGGGTCCTCTATACTGCTGAACAGGGGAAGATGGTTCTTCTCTATTTGCCTTGAACAAATAATCACCTGAATCAAACCCTCTAATCAGATCTCCACTTCTCTAAATGTCCACTGCACATACTGTGGTGTGTTGTTAAACAGGTTGTATCATACAAGCTGCTAAATTCAGGCTGCAGGTCTTCACTGAAATGTTCTTCATGGCTGCTTGTGCATGTGAGGAACATGCTGAAACATACAGAATTAAAACTGTGCTGATTTCTACGGTTTGTCCAGACTTGTCTTGACAGACAGTGGGTCTCTCTCTCTCTCTCTCTCTCTCTGTCCCACCCTGTCACTAATTATCTCACTCTCTCTCCTCCACCCTTCTACATCACTCCTCCTTTGTTTCCTCACAAACAGCGTCCACTCCCACAATCTCTTGAATAGAGGGAGGACCACGAGGTGCTGACACATGCACAGTGATGGATTTTCAAAACAAAAGCCTCTCATGACTGATTGATGAGCAGAACATCTTCAGGATTAGGCCTTGAAGTGCCTGTTTGCATCAGTGTGGAAAAAGATGTGCAGCTTTTGTGCCTTTTGACATCGTCACAGAAATCGGATACAAACACAAATATGAGACATGCAAAGATGTGGTAAGCCTAAAAAAGGGGTTGCCACGGCAACTGTTTGTGTTTATCCCCGCTGTGAATCAACGTGCTCTGACTCAGTGTGAATGGACACACACATGCACTGGGAGATATTTGTGCCTCATGCATATGCACTCACACATAGAAATCTGACGCATTTCTATCCACATGAAAAGTTATTCCCAGAATTGTACAACTTGTATTATTGTCGCTTCTCCATCGAACATCTTGCTTCTTCAGTCTTTGGCCTGATGACCTACATTTGCTATGTGCCATCCACAGGGCGCTGGACACCCATACACTCCTTATCTCACTCTTCTTTCATCCTCCCTTATTCCCTCACATCCTCTATTCTCTTTCATTTCCATGCAACACCAGCGCAGTTGTTTTAATCGATCCTCTCTCTGGCTAAAATGATCTAACAAGGGAAGATTGAATTCGCAAAAAGGCTCCTTTTGTTCATACGTCATGCATCACTTTCATGTTTGTGGTTTGTCGTGCAGCTAATTTCAGAACATTTTAATCATATTCTCGACCCACATTTTTGTTTTCATCCCATATGAATCACTGCATCCTCATGTCCCACCTGTTTACTGAAAATACCCACATTGCATCTGAGGATCAAGCATGAGTGAGAATTGGTGATTTAGCATTCAGCTCATATGTAACTGCCTGGATGAGTCATCGCAGCACAGCTGATACAAACAGAGCCATCTAGTGTTTCGATCGTTGTACAGCATGCAGGGCTTATGTAATACTTGGAGTTTGGTCTATGGCATGCACATTTCATAATTATTGTCAAAAGAGCACGCAGACGCATGATTAGTCACAAGTTCAGTATTTAATGGGGTTTAAGAAACTGCAGATGAATACAGGGATTGTTCTTTATCATCTCTGACACCCACACACCCCCCCCCCACACACACACACACATGTGCACACGCACACATTTGCACACAGGAGAAGTGTCTTAAAAAAAAAGTGTTTTGTCAAAGCAGCTGCACAGTAACAGTGACAGAGTTTCTGATGGCAGCATTCACCGCCACTCCAAAAGTAAAAGTGCCTGATTGCAGATTGACATCCCCCTCAAACATTATGCAACGCTGGGAGCATTATGTAATCACAACAACAAGCTGGAGCCAAGTAACTGAGACTCCGAGCTGAACACTGGATCCATGTGGTGCAGCTGATTCAGCCAGTTTGACAGACATTTGTGAAAAAGTGCAACTTTGTACATCTGATGTCTGCTTGTATGCTGATTTTGCAGCGTGCATCACTGTCATAGAATGGAGTGCAAGAGTGTGCTGTGAGTTTTTCAGAGTCAAAGGTATCAGAGGGGAGAAACAGCAGCCCTGTGCAGAAAGTCTGCATTGCGTCACAGTGGGGGGGAAAAACAGAGAGGAAGGAGACAGGAGGGTGGAGAGCAGGGGCACAGCAAGGGGAGAGAGGGGTGTGTCTTCACTGACCTAGTTAGAGCCGTGGAATCCCCCCCACCACCACCACCACTACCACCACCATCTTCTCAAAGCTCATCCACCCACTGTACTGACGTGTAAAGGGCACTTTCAAACAGCACCAGACAGACAGGAATGAATGCAGGGAGGCAGGGAGGAAAGATAGCTCGATGGTTGGAGAGAGACAGGCTAGCAGAGGGGAGGAGAGGGAGTGCACGCCAACAGACAGGCAGACACACCAGATCCAGCTAGATCTGGGAAATATCTCTGCGAAAATAGGATCGGCCTAAAAGGATTTAAAACAAATTAATGATAACAACAGGCTGCATCCGAAATATTGAACCCCCTTCATATCCTGTTCAAGATTAGATTTATGCCTTTATTTTCAGAGAATAAAATATAGAGCAGCTTTTGATAAAATTTGAATGCAATAACTTGCAGGAAAACAAGCTGTGATCACTGATAAACTGGATTTAATCCAACGTTTCCGCTGCCTTTCAGGCGGCTTCTTGTAGATGTCTTAATTGTGGAGATCATTTCAGTGTAAACAGCATTAATATGGTAATTACAAACAATTTACAAGCCACTGCATCTCCAGAGCTGCAGGCGGCATCACCTTAACCTTCAGCCTTTTCTCTAATGGGATGGTGGTTTGCCCCTTTGGCTTTAATGAGTCTACATTACAGTTCAGAGGCCGCATACTTAATGGAGCGGGCCGACTCCTCTGTCTAGAAAGGGCAAGCCAAAAACTTTCCTGAAACCAAACTGTATCCACTAAAAATAGATTTGACTGCAAGAAACAAGCAAAAAGGGCAACTTCATACTGCAAAACTTTCATTCTCTGACATCTGTTTTTGTGTCATGTGTTCTCAACTGTTCCATTTAGCACATCAGGATTTTTTTCTTTTTTCCAGATCAGGTTTTCAGACTCCCATCCTTTTTTGCTTTTAATAAAGGTCCTCAGATATTCACTCTCGGTTTCTTTCTGTCAATCCATTTCCTGTGCTGGCTGGATGAACTTTCAGTTTTGCATTTTGATGCTGAAATCTATCCGTTAGGCTGATATTTTTCTCATTTGCACTTTGCTCACATTGATGTATTTCGACTGAAAGTAACTTAAAACACTAGACTTTTGTAGCTACACTTACAAAATCCAGATTTGGGTTTAGTTGTGCAACACTTTTTTATCATATGACACTTTAATTCTAATTTTAGCTATGATCAGTGATGCAAAATACACAGGAAGCTCTGAACGTACAATGTGGATCTTTGTATCATTGTCCTCCCTCACGAAAACAGACCTCTTTTTCCTCTTAAAATCAATTTATTCCTCTCAAACTAAACCGTTCTTCTGTATAAAACATTTAAGGTTAGTGTTACAGAGAGAGCCGTTGTGCTCATGTTGCCAGGAGCCAGAACCAGTCCTTCTTTTTCATTTTCTCAATGTTTCTTTTATATTGTTTTGTAACCATGACCTCATCTTTCCAAGTTGAAGGCCTGTGTGTGACAAACTCAGAGCACCTTTCTTTATTATCACATTATTGTATGAGTGCTGTGTTTGTACGATGCTGCAAAATGATCACAGTGCACACAATGTTTCATCTGTGCAGTCTGGTCAAGTCTCTCTATCGTTTCTTTGTCTTTATTCTGACAGTAACGTCCTCTGCTCCTGACCCATTTCAGTGTTGTCAATCATAAAAACTCATTAACTGAATATGACTCTAACTGAATTTTACAAAGGTTGACTCTAACATAATGTTCAATCAGAATTCAGGGTTTTGTGTCATGATAATCCTCAAGTGAAGCTTAATCGCATCAGTGAATACATTTCCTCTGTCATCAACAAGTGATTCAGACCCCACAAGACAAACAGGGTCTTAATCACTGTCAGAAATAGTTACAGTAATATAAACAAAGCAAAACAAGATACACACACACACACACACACACACANATATATGGAATACTCCCAATGCTCGTAGGGTCATTTTAAAGACCTGAGCACATGGTATTAAAAGGATGAAGTAGATTTATGTTTCCAAAATAACAAATTGTACACTTTGATTTCTCCTTCAGTCAATGAGAACTACATGTCTGGTGGAGAGTGTGTAAAAGGTGAGCACAAGAAACATACACACACACACACACACACACACACACACACACACACACACACACACACACAGATGACATATCAGTCACATGCACTCAAACCTATCTATCTATCCTTCTATCTGTCTGTCTGTCTGTCTGTCTGTCTGCCTGCCTGCCTGCCTGTCTGTCTTTCTGTCTGTCTATCTATCTATCTATACTTTCTTCCTTCCTCCCGCCCACGTGATTACTCTAGATGAATGTGGAGTGTGATCTGACACATGTAAATGTTATGTATGACCAGGTTCTAATTCATTTCTAATTAAGTGCTCATTAAGCGTCATCGTGCAGTGTCTTCCTCGTGTATGTGTGTTTCAGCTGAACTGGAGTCCAGCTCCCCTCAGCTCCCATCTGTCTGCCTGGACAGAAACACTCTGCTGAGGACATATTGACAAAATAACTCAGGAATATGGAGCAGATTGGCCAGAGCGGCGTGAAGGCTGAGACAGGCCTGCAGATGTCTCCAAGATTTCTCAATCTGTTCCAGTTATCTGTCTTATTGAATCCAGACCTTTATTTACAAAGGTTCTTCCACAAACAGTGGTTTAGATCAGCGGACTGTGGCTGTTCCACTCAGTCAGTTGTCGACAAGCTTAAGGAGAAATTGCAGGCTATTTTTTACTCTTCAATTGATGTACGACAATGGAAAATATTGTGTGGGACAAACATTTTCCCAGTCAACGTGCTGACACACTGACACACATTTTCCAAGCAAACCCCAGTACCTTCATATTGCTTTATGCAGAAATTTCTCCTTGTTTCAGCCGACAGAACCAAACTTTGACCCATTTCTCTTCACTAGATGTCGAAGAGTGAATACACTGTGTTTAAAATCGTGCCTCTTGCTGCTCAAGGACATCTTGCTATTATCTTTTCCAATCTGCAGCTCTTTCTTGAATTTGCGCTTTCCCCTCAAGTGTGCGTGTGAGACCTTGTTTCTCTTCCTACTTCACACGGATTCTTTTTTTTATTCAAAAATGCAAACACAGCAGCATTGACTAAAAACAGGAAACTAGAGATGTGGCTACAATCAAGTGCTGCAATATCACAACTTCTCTTCACACGCCACTTTCGCATGACCCTTTTAAGTAAGTCTCTACAATAACTTTCCTCATATGAATGTGTTCAGTTCAGTTATCTATTGGTTGCTCTATATTTAGTTTCAACTTAATGTTATATCTAGTGAAACAGAAAAAGACGACTGACTAGAGAGGAAATTGTGCAATGGTCACAGACGTTTTTTCTCAGTAGCCTGTAACTAAAACACTTTACTGTGCAGACACAGGTGCAGCTGCCTTCAAAGTGACTGCAGTGAGGTTAATGCACAGGAGTTCAGCTCAATCGGTAAGTTCAGTGTTTTACTGCTTGCTTTTTTTTACCTAAACTATATGTTTGTGTTTATGTTTGTGTTTATGTTTATGTGTGTGTGTGTGTGTGTGTGTGTGTGTCCTGTATTATTAGGAACTGCAACCATTTCACGGACTCATGTCCCCCTGCTGCGTTCAAAAATGGTTTTATAATATATACTGTAATTCATCTAGTAGAGTCACCAATTAGTTGATTTCTTGCATTGTCATTGTAAGTTGCAGTGTGGTGAGCAAACACGTTCTGCTGTGATATATTAAACTGATTGCATGTCCCACATCTGTCTCAAAACAATATCTTCCCTGACACATATCGCATGGCTCCACTAGGTTTCATGGTAATCCGTATATTTTTTTTAGTATTAGTATTAGTACTGAATTAGTGCTTATTGTGCTATGTTTTTTATGCTCATCTTTTTAGAGTTGTATCTTAATAAGTATTTCTCTACTCTAAAATACTCCAATGGCATTACTTCTTTCAGTAAAACATGAACATCACCAACACCAACTGTACGGTGGGCATCCTCGATGGTTTGGCTTACACTCCTGTGTTCCTCCTGGGTTTCCTCATCAATGCTGCAGCTCTGCATGCCTTCATCGCAAAGCGAGACTCCTGGACAGACACCCACATCTACATGTTCAACCTAGCTATAGCTGACTCTACCCTTGTCCTCTTCCTTCCCTTCAGGATCTTCGATGCCTTTTTCTGCCTGCCAAAGACCACCTTATGTACTTTCCTCCTGTACATTCACTTCATCAACATGTATGCCAGCATCATAACCACGACCGCCATCAGTGTCCAGCGCTACCTGGCTGTGAGGTTCCCCCTGCAGGCCCGATCGTGGAGGAAGAAGAAGGAGGCAGCTGTTGCCATATGCTTGGTTATATGGGGACTTCTGGTGACAGTATCTGTGGTTTTTCGAAAGGAGAACTACCCAGATAGACTCTGGACGTGTTATGAAAGATGCAAGAATCGCCCGCTTCAAATACAGTTCATCCTGATTCTAGTCATCTTCGGTTTCCTTGCTCCACTGGTGATCATTTTGTTTTGTTCTAGTCAAATCATCTGTATTCTGTCAAAGGTGGATGGCCAGTCAGAGGAAAAGAAAAGCATTGTTGGTCTGGTTTCAGCAAACATGATCGTGTTCATTGTCTGCTACACACCAATCCACATTGGCTTCCTTGTCAACTACTTTTACACTGCACCTCCAGACTGGCAGCATGTATATATACCTGCACATATATATTTACTTGTGTGCGAATGGATTGCTTCCACAAACTGCTGCTTTGATTCCATCAGCTATTATTTCCTAATGAAACACTTTTATTCATTTCAGTGAAAGCACAAAAAGGGTGCCCCACAGAAGTAAGTAAAAAAAAATACTTTCATGTTGTCATCAAGGTCTTCTTGAGACTCTCTGGTAAGGATGATTGAAAGATACTGTTGATTTATGGGAATTGTAGGATCCAGTGTTGGAGCTTGATACAGTCAAGGTTCTAAAATTCAGGATGTTTCAACCTCTGCTGCTTTGATTTCTATTCAATTATACTTTAGCACAAATAAATAAATATGTAATATTTTGGCTCATGAGCACCACATCAACAGGGCTTAAATTTCTTTTCAAGAAACTCAGTCTATGCTGACAGAAGAGCCACACAGACCGAGAGGAAAGGGCGGGGAAACCGAGAAAAAACTTTTTTGTGATTGTGTAACTGTTTGTTGATGTTAGACTGAGGTTTTCTTCTGTCACGTCTGTGCGATATATAAGAGGGTTTGTAGCCTCTCAAGAAACAATGGTCCAAGAATTTGTATCACTCTGGCAAGCACACTAATATATGACTTTTCTAATTGAAATACAACTTTATTCTGGTAACATCACAACTTTATTATTGTAATATTAAGACATTATCCTCAAAATTCATATGGCCCTAATACTAGTAATGATCATTATTTTGCATTTTATTGCAAGCTTTATTCTCAGAAAATGAAAGTTATGTACATGTTTAAGTACTAATTAAGTTTTCCATGTGACTCCTAAATTCAGCGATCCAGGTATCACTTATGTCATGGAAACTTAAATTTTTTACACAGTCACATTATGAGGATGTGTTTTCCTTGTTGGGACAAAAGCAAGTTCTCATAACATAAATCAGTGACTTTTAAGGTTAAGACATGTTTTCAGTCTGTGTTAAGGTTCATGTTAAATTTGCGTTGATGGGCATGTGAGTGCTGCCTGCACGATGCACAAAGAGTTACATCAGAGCGAAGAACGAGGGCTATTCTCGTCTCTGCTCCAGACCGCTCAACGAAACAACTGTCTGAGTCAAGCTTAGCTGCACAGACAGACGATGCTGGTCAATGCACAGGCACCCATGGGAGTTCATGCCTCTCACACTCTCACACAGGCCAGAAGAATGGAAGCCAGTTCCCAGCTCCCTCTTGTGGCATGAAAAGTAAATACTAACTGCCTCTATGCTTAAACATGCCAATATGATAAAAAGTATTTCTAATTTAAAGAAAACAAACAGCAGTAATGATATACACGTTACTGTGACTGCTGTGAAGCTGCAGCTGTAAATGTGCACATATGTGTGTGTTCAGAACCACCCGCGACAACATTAGCAGTCAATTGTATAATGTCATTTAATAGCAGTGCTCCAAAAATTGATGGTTATTATAACAGCAGTATTTTAGCAACTGCAAAAGAAACCAAACCAAACCAAACAAAAGACAACTCAGCAGGCACCAGTCAAATGAGATGGCTCAGTTCTGGCTGAGTTCAGGCCTGCAACTCTACTCTAACAACAGGAAGGATACGGCTGAGCTCAACAGTCAGCCAAAGTCACGTAAATACTGTACATACATCTTATTCACAGCATCGTCGCTGAATAAAGGAAAACTCACACTTTAAACACAGTCCTGTCTCAGAAGAGCTCAAACAACCCCCACCCTCCCCCCAAAAAACCCAAACTGTTACACTATACCATCAGCGCGATTATTTACACTATTCACAAATGATACAGGACAGCTCCTTTACAGAATGCAAAAAAATGTGCTTTTCCTTCTTACGGCACAGTACAGGATGACATTCAACAGAAGAGAATGAGCGCAGTCATTCAGTTAGGATGCTGAGAAGTACTTTCAAGATCCTCCAGTATGGCAGTCGGTTGGCAATGACAGACAAGACACTACACGACAGAAAAAGACAAAAGAATTGAGATCTACAGAGTTACCTCGCAGCACTTCAGTGCATTTGAAGGTTTGCTTATAAACTACTTATAGATCATTGTTATTACGTATCAGCTATTCTGGATTAAAAGCAGCTCCTGTCATGGTTTAAGTGAAAACATAACAGTATAATCATGACAAAGTGTCTGCGTTTGTTCTTACATATTTACAGCACGTTAGTTTGGCATGATGCATCAAAGTAGTGTATAAACAGACCCTCCAATGCTGCTGCTGGCGTTCTGTATCTGCAGGAAAAAACGGTTTAAACAGTATAAGCCAACGTCGAGATGAAAGAACGGAACATTCAGCATGTAAAGTCAAAGGCATATCACACATACAGCATACTGCAATAGTTGAGCTCTCCATCACCACAGTGCATAAAATCATTGCACTAGTGATTCTTCATGGCACTTTAAACAGGTCTCTCTCCGTTTTTTTGTTGTTTTTTTTGCTTTGGGAATCAGGCATCAGGAAATCATCATTCATTATAGTTGGCTTTGATATATTGATGGAAAAAAAACAGACACTGGTCAACATTAGCGTCTGAGGTTTCAGTCGTGGAGCAGGTTGATGTAAAATTTACACAGAAACAGATTTTCATATATTCATATTTATAATGACATGACAAATGTTTTTACTTTTGTTTGCAAGCGAACGCCTGATATCATTTTTTGGACTCATTGTTTGTCTTATATTATCCTTTGATCTAAATTAAATGTTTACTATGTACAGATAAACCATATATTGCTGCTCACTACAAGGTCCTTCTACTGTCTGGGGCTGAAAGTGGAAATCCGCTATAACAAACCACACTCTCATTATTTTATGGATGTTGCACCTCATTTCATCAGGCTGCATTTTGTTTCCTCTTCATCTTGTCTCTTTTTACGACCTCCATCTCCTCGCCAACACACTCACACCGTGTCGTGTTAATCTAAACGCTGACCATTTCATGCCACCGGACACTTTGATATGCTGAATATATATGGTCCCATTTGCCTGCTGGGAACATTTCCATTACCCCTATTGGCTGCGAGTTACGCCAGAGGTTTCAATCACGGCCGCTGTAACTGTCACTTTATTCTGTATCACGTCTGTGTGGGACCTTGGCCACTGTGGACTTAACGGGGAAATATTTGTCCAATAAAAGTGGACTGTGTTCTGTAATGCAGCGTTAATGACTGTTTGTAAACATGTGGAAAAAACCTTCAGGTGACAGTGAAGGACAGGGTGGTAATATACTGCAGTGCATTGGATTCAAATTCTCTAAAATCCTGCCCCGTCAGTCTGCTGTTGTAGCACAACCTCTCCAGACGTCCTCGTGGAATTATTAGTCATTAAAGAGTACGCGGAGTGGAGGGAGGCAAACAAATAGAGCGATGGTCGGCTGAGATACCGTCATTTACACAGAGCATGCGGTTGGCAGAAATAGTGCTGACATTACACTCCTGCACTCTGCTCTCCAAAGAAGTTGAGTTATGGTCCCGTAGGCCCACGAGACAAGTTAGAGGCATTTGGCGCTCACGTCTCCCCTCTCGTACACATGGAATACTAAATACCCCCCTGTACAAATACATGTGTCCATCTTCTGCGTGTGTGCAGCAGGACGACAGAGAAAAGGAGAAACAGAGAGGAGGGATATGTGTTGCTTCATCGTCCATTAGGTTTGTGTTTACAGTCACAACGACTTCAGTTTTTTGTCTGATGACTCAGCTATAGAACTTCAGGTATTCAGGAATCCTTTTACGATGTTCAGAACTTTCAATTTCAACACAAGCACCTAGTTGGCACGAGAACAACAGGTACAATAGATGGGTGGCAGATGGGTGGCAGTCTCATCAGTGTTATCCAAAGGGGAAAAAAGCAACCCCCACTCCTGCAGCAGCACCTCACTGCTTCTGCAACCTCAGTTAATGTGCACAGAGAAGACAGCTCTTAAGTGCAGTGTCCATCTTTGTCCACATCCTGTCTGCCCCCCATTCTGCTCTCTGTCCCTCTTTCTTTCCTCTCCATCCTCTCTCCTCCCTCTCTCTGCTGCTGCTGCTTCTGCTGGTTAGCGGGAGAGGGGAGAGGCAACTCTGCAATGCAGACACAGCAACAACCTCACTCCATCTGACCAATTAGTGTGAGCCAGAATATGAGTGGCAGACCGAGCAGCCAGTCGTGAGGAGAGACTTGTCACGGGGTGAAATTTTGGGGGTGGCTGGGTAAGAGACTGACGGAGGAGATCAGAGGGGCTGAATAACAATGAAATAATTTTGAGGTGAAGGGAGAGAGAGGACAGAAGATAGAGAGAATTGAGAGAAAAGACAGGAAATAAAACTCCGGACATGGAAAGTTGTCCCCTTCATTTCCTCAGCAGTCACTGGCCAGTCTGAGTCCTGTCACTGCAGTTCTTCTTGCTCATCAGGTGGCTAAGATCCACCAGCTCGCCTAGCTCCCCTCGCTCCAGGGCCCCTCTCAGCAGGGCCCTGCTCAGCCCGGGGGTGTGCTGCTGGGACACATACGCCTGACCACTGGGAGCCGGCATGGAGGGGGGAGGCAGAGGGACAGGGACCATCCCGTGGCTACTGAGGATGTATCCTTCCTGGGCTGGCCAGCGCAAAGGCAGCGGGTCGTTATACTCCATTGGTGCACTGGGTGCTGAGACCACCCTCCGACGCTCAGGCGAGTCCTGGGGGGTCATGGGGTAAACATATTCTCCTGCAGACTTCCTGAGCGGGGCCTTGGGCGTCCCTTTCAGTCCCTTTTCTTGCTTGCTCAGGCAGACATAGTGCTGGCGTGGTGTGTCTATTCCTCGGCCCTCGCCACCGTGTCTCCCACCACCTCCTTGCTGAAACAGTCTTGTTGTCAGATAGACAGAGGGGGGAATGCGGCAGGGTGAGCCAAGACCCACAGAGCCTCCCCCCAGGTATGTCTGGCTGGTGTCCCATCCTCCAGAGTTGGAGTCAGACAGCCGCAGGCCTCTTCGCTTCTGCTGGGGCGTGTGCTCGGGGGTGGGGAGGAAACCGGGGTCGAGCTCCCCTGATTTCACCCACCCGTTGGGCATTACAAAGAGGGTTTCCCCGCCCTGAGTGCAGGGGCGTTCCCCACCTCCCTGCCGTGTTACGC